CAGAGGCTACTGAGTTAGGAAAACTTCACTTTGTTCATTCTTGTCGTGCGATTCTGTTTCTCAAGTACTGATTGTCTTTCCACTCTGTTCTTTCGCAGATGGCGAGAACACGTGCTTCCTCTTCTACCGCGTAGCAGCCTGAGCCCCCAGCAGCAGCTCCTATTAGGGGCAGAGGGCGAGGCCGAGCTCAGCCCCGAGCAGCAGTCCCTGTAAGCATTTTAATAGCAGTTGGTATGTCAACCAGTTTGTAATTTATGCGTTTATTTACAAACGTTTTAATCTTTCGGGTATATTAGTAAACAAACATATTATTAAGCTTTCGGCGCCATTATTAAGTCAATTGTCCAATCACATGCAGAATAAGCCTAAGGCCCTACTTTAGTTAGTTCATATATAGTTGACATTATTATTATTATTATTATTATTATTATTATTATTATTATTATTATTATTATTATTATTATTATTATTATTATTATTATTATAACTACACTAATCATTCGAAATACAGGTTGACGACATATTTTAACAAGTTACACTATATATATGTCATGTTATAGTCCACTCTGTTAACTTTGAGCGTGATGTGGTAAAAATACTCATAAAAGCATCTTTCTTTTTTTTGGGTGCTGAAAAATGAAAACGAGGCCTCAGCTGGGTGGTTTCCAAGTCTTAGATAAAGCTGTTGAGACTAAGAGGTTTTAAGTTTAATTCTCATCGAATATAGTGACTTTGTGTACAACTATGTGTTTATATTCTTTACTAAGATGTGCTAGAGTGTGATACTTTGCATAATATCCTGATTTAAGAATGATATCGCAGAGGATTAATTAAGTTGGAATTAATCCCATGAGTTGGCAAATGATTTATCCTTTTCTGTTCATCCTGAGAAACATAATTGTCATTTTGTTTATGTTAGATTTTGGGAGTTAGTTTATGCTCCCTTATTCCAAAGGGGATATATTCATTTTTGCATTTTTTTTTTGCTTGTGTAACTAAAGAAATTAGTCTTTGGGAAAACATAGGCTAGTAAATAGTAATGCAACAGTAGGAAGAAGATGGATCAGTTAGTTTGTTTCCACTCAACTTGATCTCCATGCACAATTAAAGCTTGCTTCCTCAAACATCAATAGACGTTTTCTAATCGCTAAGAGTTTTTCAGAGGGTAGTATTGAGGTTTGCATGTTGAAGACATAAACAAAATGTCTCTTATAATTTTTAGATAAAATATTGATGCAACTCAACATGGTGTCACAAGTTTAGGTCCTGGGATAAAAAAAAGTCATTGTCACTCCATTATTGAAAAGAATTATCACGTGCTTAGCCCATGAGACATAATTAAATTTGCATGTGAGGCAGTATAATGAAGACTTATTTAAAAGTGTGTTTTCCCTAATTAACAACCTAAACATTTAGATAAAATGATTAAATATTGCAATAATTAGTGAATGGTGCTTCGTGCTGTTCTAACCATGTAGCCAAGGATAGTTTGAATCTTTTGATAGAAACATGCATCAGTAACTTAAGGGCATTTCAGTATAGTGTTGAGGAGTCCTCTGACAGTTCAAGTACATATATAGCGGAAACTCAGTTTGTAGATCTTCTTCCAACCAAACGCGCCTAATCAGGGAAATATTCTGCACTTGTGACTCCAAATAAATCATTGCATTCCACAGCTTCTACCAGAGTTTGCTCTTCTTTTTTTCGTGGATGGGATGTTTTCAAGAAGGCGATTACATTATTTTGATCAACTAACAATACAAATTGTTCGACTATCTGTCCATATTTTAGTGGAACTCATCTTTGATTTGCATGTTAATTATATTGCTTGTAGGTACATTAGGAATTAGAAACGCAGATATCCTTATATCAACTTGTCTGATAGTAAGATAAACAGTTAATTGATTACAGTAAAGCTGCTACGGCACTTGACTGTTTTCAACTTTCCTCTGGAAAATGAGTGAGCCAAATAAAACAGCAACGCCTGTTATTGCAATTGTAAATAGAAGCCGCTTCTTGGGTGGCTGCCTTCTAGGAGCACCACGATCTCTCTCAGCTGGACTAATGTTCCTTCAAAAATACCAAAAGCGGGACAAAAGAATTAAAGACTAGAGCATTTGGCATACAACACAAGATATAGCACCAGAAAACTACTGTTAAGGAGAGTACTGGTAGATGGTTTAGAAGTGCTTAGTATTTATTGGTCAAGACATATGATGGGAACAATTGCAACGGCCGGATTAGATGGCAAGTTACATGAAAGGCCACAAGCGGATATCTGGTAGCAACTTGAGTTTTACTAACTTCCACAGAATGGTGGTAAAATCACACCCTTTCACCTGTATTATTTTTCTGAAACCATAAAGTTTCTGCATAGGGCATAGCATGAGCTAACAGTTGCTCATTTTCTTATTGAGTAACTCTTGTAATCCTCGATTTAAGGTTTCACATGTAGTGTACTATTATGACTTGTGGACGTGGATGCCCCTATTCCAACCACTGTAATATATCATAAAATTGATAGACAAAGAATGCCAAGAGACTCTAGATATGTGAGATCCATCTATTATATAAGCACAGAGGAAAGATTCTTTCCAAAATAAGATAATCAAATATATAAAGGGGGGACGAAGCTGGCAGAAAACCAGATACTTTCTTGATTAACATAGATAAGTTAGACGAAGAAAGGACCTCACAGAGAGAAGAATAAGTTCAAGTGTAACCTTAGAAAATTCGATCACCTTTTACTGGGTAGGTAAAACATAAAGGAAACAAGTATATGCATATTTATATGCACTAACTGCATTATGGATGAGAAATAAGAAAGTGTATAAACATGTCACCTGCCAGTCATGTCTGACCTAGATTTTATTAGAGATTCTTATGTTATATTCATGTCCAGGTAGGAGAAATACTGATTTTCATACATCGCTCAAAAGCAGCTTATCTAATAGGAGTATCCTTTTAGACAATCTTATGCTAGGTGGACTGAATCGAAAAGGGGAAAAGTATTCCATGGTAGAATGCCTCGTCCCAGTTACTAACCAGCAAACTTGACATGTTGCCAGCAATAGAATTTGACTCAACACCATGTCAAGAGTAGGTGTCAAGCAGGAATCCATCTATCCTTTATGATATCAGGCTTATTACTCATGTTCACTACCCAAGAACCCCTTCATTTCCAGACATGATGTTCTTAGGCTCATAACTCGTTACCACACACCACCGTGTGTCTATACAGAATGTTTCCTTTTTTCTGTTTTATCTTTTTGGCTTTAGGTTAGGCAGTTAGGGGAGGAACTCTATGTCTTATAAGTCAGTGTTCACTAATCAGTGAAACAAGATACATAGACTAGTTGTAGCATAAGAGAGGAAGGCAAAAAATAAGCATCGTAAATGCATGTCTGTTCAATTACGTTAAGGTAGGAATGACAGAGAGATAAATGCTTCCAACGGGCTTTGACAGTTGGACCTCATAAACATCACCAAAGAATCAAAGCCAAGATCCACTCAGCATACAAAGAACGACTCAAAACGACCAAGGGGACATGCAAAATGCCAACTAAATAAACATTTTAGGTCCATAATACCTGGAAGATTCTGCAACGATATTTGTGCCTCCATTACATCTACTCTCATGGTCATCTCTTTCACGGAGCCTAATATATCTGCTACACAGATGACAGAGTTCTGTTCTATTCCCACAAACTTCCTGGTAAAGGAATGCAGATATTATGAAAAACAGCAGGATACTGAAGTTCGATCATTTACCCAAAACAATTACAAAATAGAAAAAAAAGCCTAATCATAGATACTCATTATAACCTGATGCTTAAATAAATCAATTGCAGGCAAAGGAAACTCGCAATACTCGCATGTCACAATCCTTTGTGGGCAATTTTCACCTTTGTGAACAGTTAGCACCTCACGCGCCATTGTCTCGCTACACAAAGAACAGGTTACCTGTAAATTAACATGCATAACAATCACATTAAGAAGTTGTATTTGGCTTATTAAGGAACTCCAACAATGACGAAGTGGGAAAAGAATGTTCCCGTAAAACAGAACAGACTGGTAGAAGCAGAAAAGGTGGGAAGACCTACAAAACATATGTTCATAGAATGCAAGAGATTGAAAAGAAAGTAAGAGGTATAAGTTAACACTAAGATAGAATGTTGTAAAAGACTATGTTCAAGCACTCTTAAGCCCTGAACTAGGTGCAGCGTAGGCTGAACACTTATCTTCGCATAGACGTAGCTTTAATGCGCACCAAGGCAATAAGGTGTGCACCTCATCGCCCATGGATTTACCTTGAAGAAGCCTATGTCAACAAATGAATTCAAAATGGTCTTTAAAATTGATTCACATGATTTTTACTTCATATATTATACTTAATTGTGTAGTTTTTACATATAATCGTTGTTTGAGTTTAAAGTAATTTTTTCTTACATAAAAAAACACATTTGTATTCTTTCATTTGTATTCACTAAAACTCGCGCTTCAATAGCACATTGCGCTTTAAACCGCAACAGATCTTGGCAATTTTCACTTGGTGCTTTCATATGAATAAAATTCTTTACTTATCAGGAAGAAAAAAGGATCTTATTTTTGTTTTCTTAAGGTAGCATTGGAAAAGGTACCTCTTTTCTTTACCTAGAGCTTCAACCCCTGCAATAAGTATGCATCATGATTTTAGTAACCCCGAAAAGTTTATCTATTAATATATCTTTTGGCTGGTGTTCAATCATCACTCATCAGCACTTCACCTCTTGTGTTGGTTACCGTTAATCTGAAGTTCTTAATTATTTATTTAATTTTCAAGAATAGGATCATATATTTGCCGTTTAAGGTCCATTGTTTACACAAGGAATTCAGTTGCAATGCCTAGCACGTACATAACGTCATGACAAATGTTCATTGCACAACCATGAAGTGAAAACTGTATTTACGAACACACACAGCTGTATAAAAGTGCATAGTCCCATAAACGGTTCTGGAAGCAAACTGGAAGGCAAATAAATGCAATTGAATGGATCAAATTTAGAAGTCTATCTCAGAAAGGGACTAACATCTGCTGGACCAAATGACACAGTTACAGGTAATTGAGAACTCCTTGCGTCTAAAAGCTGAAGGTGAAATTAGAGAAGGAGAAAAAAGGAACTTTTTCCCTGTAAAACCTCTCGGCATCATCCACAAAATGAAGAGATCAAATAAATTGGTTCACTTACCGGAGCATGAGTGCTCAAGAAATGTTCTTCTGCATGTTTTTTTGGAACCATATCACCACAGATTTTACATTTTTCAAGTTTCCGGGAGCAGTGAGCAACATGCAAATCAAGATTGGAAGACGGAATCGCTCTGTCACTGGAAACATAGAGATTCAGAATAGCAAGTGATGAATATACAAGCACATAGGAAAAGATAATATGTAGAATAAGAAGCTGACAAATATACAAGGCTGAAACATGGATAAAGATGACATCTAGCTTGGTACGACTGGTCATGCACAAATGGCAACCCGCTGTTAAACTATAAGTCTTATAGCTTAGATTTAAATATAGAGCTGTAAGGTTCATTACTTCATTTCGAATTTTATGGTGTATTATCCACAAAGCAATAATCCATAATCTATTAAAGACCCGAACTCTTCAGTTTCCATTGGCAGCAAAATGAGGATACTCAATAAGAAATTCACTTCTGCCAACATGACAATCCACAAGTAGACACCAACAAACTAGCTAGTATTTACTTTTCCAAATTAAACCTTATGCACATTGCAATCAGTAATAGGAAAAAACAACTTGCAACTAATATATCCCATTAATCAAGCTAAATCATGATCAATATTTGCTGATAAATCAATAATATTTCATTAAACAACACACCAAGATGGTGACAGAAGAAAATACAGACTCAAGCACAGTTATCTACCAAGTATCACAATCATTAATACACACTTGTATATTGTCTTTATACAGTTCTCCTTCTTCAATGGGGCATAAAATTGCAGCTAAAGACAAACCCATATATTGTCTGTAAATTGTTTTTTACGACGGTGGTATATGGGTCAGCTTGAGCACAGCTCGACTATTCCACCTGGTACCTCCCACCAGCATAGATACCAGACAAGTTTGCCCACGCTAGGGGCATAAAACTGCAGCTAAGATACAAACACAATATTGTCTGGATAATTTATTTTTATGACTGTGTTATTCGGGTCAGTTTGCACCACCTCAACTATTTCACCAGGTACTACTATCTCCCCAGCCTAATTACAGCGCAACTCTGTCCATCAAGGCTCAGACAGATAGTAATATTGGTATAAATTCCAACAGGGGGGG